TTGACGTTTTCTGCGTCATTCAATATTTTGTCTAAAGAATCCTTCAATATTGCAACTTGAGGTTTGACTTTTTTCTTTAGTTCTTTCACTTTGAAGCCCTGGTGGTGCAGTGGTTAAGAGCTCAGCTGCTAACCAAAAGTTTGGCAGTTTGAATCCACTAGCTGCTCCCTAGAAACCATACGGGGCAGTTCTACTCCATCTTGTAGGGTCGCTATGAGTTGGAACCAACTCGATGGCAACAAGTTTTTTTTTTGTTTCAACTTGAGAAATGTCATACATATTCTTCCCTTTTGGTTTTAGACCAATAATCTATGAAAAAAGAGTCCTTTAATTTCCATCCAGTGTGTAACCGCATGTATACAATCATGATAACAAATTTTATAACATCAGCTGCACAACTAGTTGACATTCAGTATAGTATTTCATTACTAGCCAAAAGTCATCTTATTTTTATTGTACAGAGATATCCAGTGATAGCAAGGGTTATTTAGAAGTAAATACTTCTTATGTTCTTGTGCTTTTTTTCACAGTTAAGACTGTCACTCTGAATTATTCCAAATTTCCACTAGAGTATATGCTGGGCTAGAGTTCTTTTAAGATATTTGGGTCTTTGGTTTCCAAGAAACTAGTGAACATGTTTTGTTTTGTTTGTTTTGGTGGTATGGCAAGGGAGAAACTACATAATGTAAGCACTGCATGAAAAGTTGAGAGACAACAGGAAGTGAGACTGGTAGTCACTGCTGGAGAAAAGCAACACTTAAAACCCATCTATGGAGTAGGAGAAAGTGACAGGGCCATTTCTAATATAGTGCAATGCTCAAGTAAACAGCCCTGTGTGTCCTTTTCCACCACCATATTTAAATACAGTTGAAATCCTGTTAAAATAAGTGTGAAAGACTTGATCAAATAAACAACATCTCATATATGCAGCCACCACTTGTCTGTCAGTGGAATGCTTGTTGCTATGATGCTGAGCAGGTTTAAGCAGAGCTTCCAGACTAAGATAGACTGGGAAGAAAGGACTGATGATTTACTTCCAAAAATTAGCCAGTGAAAACCCTAAGTATCACAATGGTTTGATCCACAACCAATCATAGGTATGGCACAAGATCAGACAGCTTTTCGTTCCTTTGTGCATGGATTGCCATGAGTTAGGCCCAGTTGACTGCAGCTAACAAAACTATAACAATGAAGTATGAGGAGAAACAGCAAGTGAAGCATGTAAGTGAGAAGCTACGGGAAGCTTTGAGCAATAGAATTTCTGTGGAAGTGAGGAGAAACTCAAGTCATTGCCTTGGTGAGATCCAAAACATGGCATGGTATGTATGTCTCTTTCACAATACAGGTGAGTGTCATGTCCTTCTCCTGATCCCTGACAGGCTGAGTCCAAGTACTAGAGGCTAGGATAGGGGTCAGTGTTATGCCCTAATGAGCCTTCCCTTCTACATTCTACTTGCAGTGTAGGCATACAATGGTGAAATGACAGATTCTTTCTTATCAATCAATCATTTATTTATGTATGTATTTATTTAGAGCCAGGGAGAAGGCACATGAAAATGAGGAACTGATGTCAGTAGCAACAATTAATTAAAGTAATAATGAAATCCTGCCAGGATTTTACCTCCTAGATATTTTCTTTACAATTGTTCTTTTTGTTTTTAATTCTGCTTATTCCAGCTCATTTTTATATTCATGATATTTTTCCTCTCAGTTCATCTTTGTCCTCACTTTTATAATATTGTTTTTCCTCCATCTATATATTTATCTTTATTTCTATATTTATGCCAATACAGAGTAGATACGTCAATAAAAAAGTAATACACAAGTTTTTAATGGGGCATAATAATGAAGAAAATAGGAAATATAATTTGAAGGCCAATAATCCATGTAATTATGATCTACATAATTCAAATTAAAAAGCTATTTAGAAAATGTCTAGCTTAAAATGCCATCTAGCTATGAGTACCTGATGAATATACACTCCCACCAACTCCTTAAGAAAACTCATAAGATCTCTGAGAGTTATCTCTCTTGGCCATTATATTGACATTATCTTAAGAAAACTTTTACTTTTTACAAGGTCAGTAGGACTAGATTTAAAAATTCAATCAGGCCCTCCTCTAAATTATGTCACTGGAAATTAAATAAGCCTGGTCATCTTCAGGTAGGAAGAGAGACCCTTTCCTCCCACCGTGCTAACTGTAAAGTCTGTACCTACCAGGAAAGGAGCTGTCTGCAACGCTACATTCCGTCCTTGAGAGGAAGTCTTAGGGGGTAGGGAGGAGCAAAGGCAGGATGAGACCTGATAGAACTCTATAAAGGCTTCTACTTGTGTGCGTATGTGTGTGCACACACACTCCATCTGTTCAAAATGTCAGTTATCAGCTGAGTTAGGAGAAGATTTCATTTTATGCCAGGAAAACAATTTTTGATGAATCCCTGGTAGAGATTGAAAATTAGGCTAAGAAATGTGCACATAAACCATACGTTTTCTTAAATAACTAAGAATAGATTTGGCCAGCCAAGAAACTGGACAGGATTTATGTTGTTCAATGCTTAATCCCTGTCTATTGGCAAACTATGAATCTTGATAGATTTTTCTCTTCTGATGAGAAATAAACAACAACAAAACAGGAATTACAAAATGATAATACAAAACAAAGGAAAGGAAAGATCTGATGATTCAAACAAAGAATACTGGTGAAAATTATTTTTTGAAGAAATTGTTCTTACAAGTAATTTTAAAAATTCTATCAATAAGAGAAAAATCTTGCCCAGACAGGTAAAATTCACTTTTGTATTTTGAAGTACATAATTCCAGAATAGAATTAAACAATGTTTCTGTAATTTTGAAGAAAATGTTTGTTTAACCAAGAAAAAAGTTGTTTAGCCAAGAATTAATACGCTACTGCTATTCATATATAAAAGCAAAGGAAACATACTTGGAATATACACAAATGGAACAATATATTTCTATATAGTTTTCCTGAAGAAGTTACTTCAACTCATACTCCACCTATTCTGCACATTAATAAAATTAATGAATGAGCAATGGGAAACATGTAGCCTAAAATTTGAGTACTAAGCAATACAACTAGAGAAACTCATGAAGTCTAAAAGAAAATCTAAAACTGATTAACTAACTATAAATGTCAAAGATATTCTTATACAGAAGAGACTTACTGTTTGATGATTCAAAATAATAAACTTGGTCAGAAATCCTAAATTACTTTATGAAGGACTGAAATTAAAGAAGATAAGGAGCGTAGTAAAAAAAGAGGCTAAAGTCCTCATCTCAAATAGAAGGGATTCAAAATAATAGTAGTAGAATTTAAAACTGGCAGAATTCTTCCAAATATCCAAGGAAGATATAACACACACTGAACAGGAACTACATGGTAAAATACTGAAGGAGTCAGAAACAGTAAAGAAGCACAAAAGCAGACTGCAATAATGTATCAGAAATAATACTAAACATCAAGTATGAAAACATAAACAGTTTAAAAAGTAGTCACTAAAAATCATGTTTACAAACAATATTTAATTACATGATAAGATGTTAATGATTCAATACTAAGTACAAATGCAGGACAAAATAAATTATACTGTACTATGAGCTAAAACTTGTGAGTTTAGTTTCCAAAATGAAATAACTTAGGATCTAAATTCCAACTGTTCCACTTACTATGTAAACTTTGAAAAGACCTACTACGTAAACTGTGGGAAGTAATAACTCCCAAGTTTAAATTCTAAATCATAAAATGAGATAGTAATAGTATCTTCCTGATGAGGTTATTATAAGGACTAATAAGAAATCATGAAAATTTATTACAAAATACCACACACATGAGTATAAGCATTTGATAAATGTTACCTATGATTATAATTATTATTATTAGTACTAAAAACAATAGTCTCCAGTGATAAATAATTATAAAAAATACAACAAAATATTATAGTATTTTATTGCTTAATAGTGGCATTATGAGTAGATATTTTATTTTTAATAAATATTGTTATATTTCTGAACTGTTACAACTTATGTAATCAGTTTTAACAAATTTGTTATTCAGATCTTTTCTTCAGAAGAAAAAATAAAATATTATGGATAAGTTGAAGTCCCTTTATTACACTTATCCTCCTCCTTCTTCCTCCCTAGAAATAATCATTATAATTGATTAAAAATAT